TAAAAAATCAATAAAATATATTAAAAAAAAAAAAAAAGCCCTAACAGGTTTGGCTCAGTGGATACAGCATCGGCCTGCAGACTCAAGGGTCCCAGGTTCGATTCCGATCAAGGGCATGTACCTTGGTTGCAGGCACATCCCCAGAAGGGGGAGTGCAGGAGGCAGTTGGTCAATGTTTCTAACTTTCTATCCCTCTTCCTTCCTCTCTGTAAAAAATCAATAAAATATATATTTTTTAAAAAAATGAAGAACCAAATGGCCTTAGGCAAATGGAAAAACATTGTAGAAGGCAGTTGTACTATCTAAATGTGAGTTGCCACACTTAGATCCTAGCAAGGAATGGGGCTTTTTGTAAACTGTGAAGTGCTATAAAAATGCTCTCTCTTGAGGTTGAAAATGTTGGGGTGATGCTACAGACAACTAATGTTTGGCAAACTGACTTGGTCAGAGCCAGAGGCCTTTGGGTCGTGTTTAGGACTGGACGTAGCTGGGATGTCCTGGCTTGGAGGTGAGTGGTGGGTGGACACTCGGCCAGAGTCCTGGAGAGGCCGGAGTCTGACCAGCTGACTCTGAGACAACAGTGGGTGTCTGCAGGCACCACGGCAGAGAAGGGCTACGATGTTGATGTAACAGTGATCGTCTCCTCTTTATAGCTTGGCCATGGGACTTCTGAAGTAGAGGGCAGCTTTTGGGGGAAGATGCCAGAAGCCGGTCCATCCTTGCTGCTTGACATAGTCGCTGCAGGAAAGAAACATCTGCACAGCATATGTTTCAAGGGACCTGGCGTATATAGCATACTGTTCTTAATATGTTTGCTCCCCTTAGCGCTATGTGTTTTAACTAAGGTCACCTCTCCGAGAAAGGTTGTTTCCCCAGGTAGGGATTTTCCCCTGAAGTTAGGGAGGGAATAAAACCCCTAAACTAAGTGCCAGGCGGGTAGTTAATCACTTTAACTACGACCAATCACGCTTAAGCTACATAATCTTTACTCCCTGAAATGGAGATAAGAAATGCCCTAACCTTTGCAATAGAAATTGACAGGATTAAAATCAACTGGTATAAATACAGATATAACAAGACAATAAACACCAGAACTTGGCTGGAGATCCTGGCTAGACTGCTGAAGGCTGTCTCCGTGTCATTCCTTCTTCGCCGACTCCGTCCACACTTTTGGGAACCCCTGGACCTGCTGGGGTTGGACCCCAACATCTGGCGCCCATACAGGGACCCTTAGGTAAGCCCCCCCCCACTCCCACACTCGGGCGGATAGGACTGCACCATAGGGTGCTGTAGACCCCCCTATAGAGGATAAGTAGGGTAAGAGGGTGGTTAGTACAGAACTTAGATTGACAAGATGGGTCATACTGAGTCTAGAGAAAAAAGACTCTGTATTAATCTTTTAACGCATATGCTTGCTAGCAGAGGAGTTAAAGTTACTCCCAGTCAGACAGAAAATTTTATACAAGACGCATGTCAATGGCTTCCTGAGGATGGAACTGTTAATTTAGGAACTTGGACTAAAGTAGGAGAGCAATTAAAGAATTATTAGAGCTACCATGGATCTGAGAAGGTCCCGGCAGGAAGAGTCATAGTACAAGTTTGCTGTAGTAGATCTCTGATTTTCGGAAAAGATCATTTAACAAGAAACACACAGCCCTAGTCGGTTTGGCTCAGTGGATCAGCCTGTGGACTGAAGGGTCCCAGGTTTGATTTCGGTCAAGAGAATCATTGATTGGCTGCCTTCCCTACGTCCCCTACTGGGGATTGAGCCTACAACCCAGACATGTGCCCTGACCCGAATCGAACCCAGGACCCTTCAGTCCACAGGCTGATGCTCTATCCACTGAGCAAACTGACTAGGGCCAGAGAAGTGGTTTTTAAACTGTACCCCCACCCCCAGCAGCTCAATTCTTCAACGTATTCAAATAACCAATATGAGAAAAGCTAATGGCTTATGGTTTAAATGGGGAAGCAGGGCTGGAGACTGCCTTCCTGGTTCCCTCTTTTACGTCTCCAGGGGTTGGGATGGCCAGTCCTCGGACTGTGAGATCTCAGCACGCAGTGCGGGCCAGGCCGGCTGTCTATGTTACGGCTGCAGCCTCTTGAGCACTTGAAATGATAAGGGGACCGGAGGGGACTTGCAGAATCTGATATCGGAGTTTTTATCTGATATATATCTATATCTATATCTATATCTATCTATCTATCTATCTATCTATCTATCTTATCGATCTATCGATCTATATATCAGGTTGGGTAAGCAGGTGAATTTACAGCAACTGAAGGGCAGGGCAGGCAGCCTTTGTGCGAGGAGGTTCCAGCCATTTTAGAAAAGAATGAGGACCTAGGAGGGAGGGAGCCTGTAAGGCTCTCTTACCCTCCTCACAATCTAGAACAAGGAAACTGCCAAGGTCTTGAAGGTACTTGCCCACATACTTGGCTTCCAGGGCTGGTTGTTTGCCAAACCCTAGGGCAGTGGTTCTCAACCTCAGCTGCACATTAGAATCACCTGGGAATCTTTTTAAAATCCTGATTTCTGGGCCTCATCCTCT